AAAAGGGGGGGGGGGGGTGTTGTGATCTGCCACAGCCAGGTGTTGCCCACTCCACCCACGCTATGGCCTTTGATCCCCATGGGCATCTCATTCTTTTCTTCCTCCCAGCTCAGAGACCCTTCCTGAATTGATCAGACATGCACAGACACGTCCATGTGGGCAGAGAGTGGCCATGCTGGCAGGGACCTTGCACAGTGCTGGCTGCAGGATCTTTAACCTCCCTTCACTCTCTTTTGAGATGAAACTCACAAAAGCAGAACCAAGACTCTCTGTCCAGAGTTCTCAAGCCAGCCCCAAGGCTGGGCAGCTCTTGGCAAGGGACAAGGGAATCTCCATGGGAAACTCCTGCCTAGGGGAGGGTACCTGAGTCAACTTTGCCCTAAAGAGAGACCTAGCCCTGTACTTGGTCCACAGAGAAGGGTTGGGACAGCTCTCCACCAAAGCCCTGAGATGGGTGTGAGTCCCAGGGTACTAGACAGATGTCAGCTGCTTTTCTGCTGGGCTGGTCAGAGAACCTTCTGGACCCCTCCCTGACCATGAAGCCACACTCAAGAAGAAAACATGTCCTTATGGGAGCCACCAGATACTGAGTTTGGAGAAGACATGACTCGGGGATTTTGCCCAAATCTGAGTGGCTGTCATCAGCATTTGATTACTGTGGTTTCCAAGAACAGATCAGAAGCTAACTGGTTCGCTACTGGTAGATATCTTAGGAAGACCTAAGAGAGGGCTTTTCTAGTCAGAATATCCAACAGAAATAGACTGGCATGTGAAGGAGTGAGTACCCTGTCCCTGGAGGTATTAAGGCAGAGGTCATCAGGGAAGCTCCAAGGGGATGGATTCTGGGCCTTTGGTGAACACATGGCTCCAGGGAACTGCTTCTCAGCCAGGCCTTGAGGGATTCTGGGACACATGAACACATATGTGCACACACTTACGATCTGATCGGAAGAAAGCCGGAGGGACTTCTTGTAGGTAGGAGTGTGGGCTGGAATGGAGGATGGCAGGGAGGGAACCTCGAGGATCACAGGGCTGTCTGGGGCATCATCATCGCTGCTCAGGACTTCAGTCTTCCCCCTGTGAACAGCTCTGGCTCTCAGGCTACCTCCCCAGTTGATCCATCCTTCACGCCCCAGAGATACTCACCTCAGCCTAGACCACAAGGAGTCTGGGGCCCGTCCCTGCCTCTCCAGAGACTACCCAGGATATCAGTGCCCCCTCCCTCTAGGTGCCACCCATGTGGGTGGTGGCAGACACAGGGGTGTTGGATGGCAGTCTCTCCACCAAGTTAGGTGACAGCAGAGGCACTGAGACCTAGGGCTTCCAGCCCTCAGTGCCTTGGTGGTATTTACCTGAAATACTCTAAGTGCACCCCAGGGCATCTTCCCAATCCCCCCTGCTTTGGTTTCAGTTAGCCCATCCTCAGTCACCCTCCACCCGCTCTTGGACATCTGGGTCACTTCAGAGGTGAAAAGGGAAGCAAAATCAGCAGCCCCTGTGGGCTGGGGGGAAAGCAAGGCCTGTCCCTCCTTAATAGGTGCCCCCCTGTTTGGGCCAGGCGTCTGTGTGCCTGTTCCAGCTCTGCCATTTCCTGGCTGTGGGACATTGGTGTGTCTCTAGGCCTCATTCTCCGGAAAAAGAAAGGGTGCAGAAGTACTTGGGGAGTGAAAGAGAGCCACAGCTGGGGACAAGGCACTGGCTCCACGCACCCTCCAGGGCGATCTTCCCACACTCCTGCAGTGGCTGGAGGTGAGGAGGTGGGGGGGTGTGTGGCAGGTGTCCCACTCACCCCTGCTGCTCCCTGGCTGTGGTTTTCTCCCTCTGGGCACCACTCTGTGGAAAGAACACTCATCTAGTGAATTCCACCTCCTGCCCTGCTCTGACCCTGCCCCTCCAACCATGACCACATACCTCCTCGGTTGGGAAGTCCCTGCGTCGCCAGGAAAACCACCATCGCCCACCCTTCCGTGGCATCTTCTCCTTCTCCAACTTGTCCACAGTGCTCTGCAGGCAGATGAAGGCTGTGGCATGTTATCCTGCACCATGTAAACCTCCCTTATGCCGCCCTTGGGGCCCCGCATGAGCCCAGAGTCTGGGTTGACCCCAGAGCAAAGTACTATCAACATCTGGCGGCTGACAAACCACATTCACCTCCATCCTGGGATTCAAAGCAATGACTCAGAGCTATGCATGAGAGACCAAGAGCCATTCCTGCACCCAGCTCCACCCAGGGCGTGGCCTGGCCTCCAGGTCTTTTGGGTCAGTTCCCCTACTAGAGTAACTGAAGCTAGTGCTTTGCGAGTATCTCAACATCTGGTTCTCTCTGCGTGATGCTGCCAAGTGACAGCAGGAAGAGCCGGCACTCTTCTCCATCTCCTAAGGTCAGTGATCCTATATCATGAACAGCCCCCCTCTCTGTATGTCACCGTCACTGGTTGGGGCAACATGACTTTATGAAAATGCTGATCTGTGCTAGGTAACTCTAGGGAGAGCCCATGCCAAGGCTCATCTGGGAGACACACAAGTATCCTACAGAATGGAAAACAAATCCAGGAGGACATAGACCCAGGGTGGATCGCCCAGGTGCCACTTGGTGCTGGGAATAGGCTGGTGGGGAAAGGTTACTCAGGAGTCTCAAGTGGTGGGTCTATTTGGGTGAGGGAAGGAGAGCCAAGCAGGGGAGTGACCGTCCTGCTTTCCTTAGGCTCTGGGTCCCAGCTCAGACCCAGAGTCAGCCAGAGGATGGAACTGAGTGTCACCTAGTGGAGCATCAGTTGTCAACATCTATTAATGATGCTCTTTGGATGAGCCAAGAACGATGGGCCAGGCAGTACCCAGAGGAGTAGGTACAGGTTACCACAGGTAGACACCACCAAGAAGGGCACTGTCCTCCAAAAGTGAGGGAAGGTGGCCCAGGAAGACCATGGTGGAGGTTCTGGGAAGGAAAGAAGAGGCTGGGCTCCTTCCCACTTTGGGCATTGGCTAACCCAACCTGCCCTAGGTCTACTCATCCTTGGGTCTCTGGCCAGCAAATCCCCAGCATTCTAGACCTCTCCCCTTTCCAGCACTCAGGGTTGAATTTTATATTCACTTGGGTGAGTCTTTGATTAACTTTGTCTTCCTGTGAGGATTGGGGGCGTTTCTGTTTAGTTCATGACCATCTTCAGCCTGGACCCAGCACACAGTAGGTGCAATAAACGGGGTAGGCACCCCTCAGCCCAGCCTGGAGGGATAGACTTAGGGCAAGGTGAAGGGTGGGGCCTCCATCTCCCAAGCCTCATCTCAGATCCAAGAACCTCCTACTGAAGGCATGTCCTGGTTAGGCATCTGTGAGATGTTTATCCACCTCTGGTTTGTCCCGAGTTCCTCTAAAGTCAACTCCAAATCTGAAAGAATTCAACCATGGCCAGGAAACCAAGGAAAAATACTACAAGTTTTCGGGGACCAGCATCTCCTCTCCCAGAGTGGATCTTGCAGGGTCTTCCAAGACCCTCTTCCAGTGGGTCTTGTGGGTCTTCCAGGCCCACCACAGTTCACCCTCCACTTCCCCGTGGAGGATTCCCTGCCCCAAGAGCTTGACCACTTTTCCCAGCAGGCCCAGTGGTGCTCTAACCATTACCTGGGGCAAGTTTTTCTGGAAGGCTTGCAGGGAGAGGATCATGGGAGCAGCCACTGCCCAGTTATAATGTCTGGAGAGATAGAAGCGGGGGCGGGGGGGGGTAGTGTCAGGGCTGGAGGGTTGTGGAGAGGGGGATGACTCTCTGACCACCAGCAACCTCTGGGACTTACTTTCCATTGATTTTCACCACTAGGTTTGGGTCATCCAGGAGACTGGGGTTTTTGGTGAGATCCTGGTAGGAGACGCCATGCTGGTTGAACTTCTCTGGGTACAGAGCAGAGAGGGGTGAAGCTGGCACATCCCATGTGACCAGCTGCCCCAATGCCTGGGGGATCCCATATTCTACTACCCACCTCCTGCTGGTTGCTTCTTTGACCTAGTGGGCTCCTCCCTACCTGTGGTTTTTACACCTGTTCCACCCCAGATTTCACAGGATAAGTCACAATTAGCATCAGGCATTTGCTTCGGGGAGACTTGGGAAAACCCAGCCCCGGCTGACTGAATGTGGGCTCCACAGAGCAGAGAACAGCAGGGGAGCCCAGCCTCCTCCCTCCACTGTCCCACCCTCCCTCGGGGTCTTCCCTGCCCTCCCTGCCCAGTCCGTGGAAGCTCTCAGGCCACGGCTGAACATACCCAGGGAAATGTCCCGGCTTTCAGCCAGTCCGCCACAGAGGGATAGTGCTATCGTGTCCACTGTGTCCAGAGTGGGTTCTGGCACATGTTCAGGGCTGGGGTACCCCAGAGGCTTCTGGCTGCCAGGTTCACTCCACCTTCTGGCCCCCAGCCCACAGTCACTGGGAGCAAAGGGGCCAACAGTGACATGAATACAAGGCAGGTGGGAGGTGGATTCTCCTCTTCCTCCCAGGCCCTTGATAGTGGACCCTTGGCCCCACGGGTCCTGATCCAAGTCACCCTGGCACCCAGAACCCAGGCGCCTCTGGGGGAAGTAAAGTGCTGCATTCTTGGAGTCCAGGGAGGGTAAATCATCCAGGTAGATGTCACTGGGTCCCAGGTGCTGGCTTCTCTTCAGGGAGCCTAATGATGGGGGAAGGGACACCAGGAGACCTAACGTGAGTACTATGTGCTTCTGGCCTTTGAATGCTCTAAGGCAGTTCCATCCAGTAGAACTTTCTGTGATGATACAAATATCCCATGTTTGTACTGTCCAATATATTAGTTGCTCGCCAGATGTAGCTACTAACACTTAAAATGAGGACAGTGTGACAGAATTTTGCATTTGGTTTTATTTTAATTAATTTAATTATTTACTATTGTTATTATTATCATTGTTGTTATTACTCAGACAGCATCCAGCCGGTTTTCCAGGCTGGAACGCAATGGTGCAATCATAGCTCAATACAACCTCGAACTCCTGGGTTCAAGTGATCCTCCCGCTTCAGCCTCCTGAGTAGTTGAGACTACAGGTACGTAACATTACACCTGGCTAATTTTTAAAATTTTCGTAGAGACAGAGTTTCACTATGTTGCTTAGTTGGTCATGAACTCCTGGCCTCAAGTGATCCTCCTGCCTCAGCCTCCTAAAGTGCTAGGATTACTGTGGCCGGCCCAACTAATTTAATTTTGAATAGTCACATGCAGCCAGTGGCTACCAATTTGGACAGTGCAGGCCTAGTGCTTTCCCACGGCTCTTAAACCCAAGCTTAAGAGCTGGAACCATCTGGCTCTGCTCATCTCCCAATTTCCCGTTCCTGTGCTCCTCCACTCCTCACTCAAGACACACCAGCTGCCTTCAGTTTCTAGATATGAAACCTCTCTCCCACCTTAGAGCCCTGGCACATGCTGTTCCCTCTGCCTGAAATTCTCTTTTCCTGCTCCTCGCTTGGCTGGATCTCTGTTGTCCATGGCTTAGCTCCAACATTAGCCCCTCAGAGGGGTCTTCTCTAACCACGTGAGTTAAACTGCCCCATCTTAGCCAATGACTCTGCCCACATGCATGTGACATCTGTCTCCCCCACTGGACAATGAGCCCATGAAGGAATCATGGCACGCAGTAGGTGCTCAAAATGTACTTGAAGCCCCAGACCCACCTAGGGGACAAAGCGAGGCCAGGGAAGCAGTGGGAGGTGTCCAGTGTCACTCACCTTTCCTCCTGGAGACTTCCTCTGGCTGCCCAATGGGAACTGAACCCTCCAGAGCAGCCCAGCTCTGTGACTTAGAGGCTGGAGGGAGGCCCACATCTCTGGGGCTCTGAGTCTTAGTTTCCTCTGTCTCTGGGGTGTAGAAAGGGGGACCCACCAGAGTGGGATCCCCTGCATCAGGCCGGTGCAGGTCAGTGTGAGCTCCTGTTTGCAGGACTGGGCATCCCAAAGGATTGATGCCAGCCACAGAGGCAGAGGGGGTGCTGGGTCCTTCCCGAGAAGGAGAGATTGCCCCAGCGCTGCCTTCCAAGACCTTCGGGGACTCAAACCGCTCAGCTTTGGCCACCTTCAGTCAAACAAATGAGGGATGATGCAGGCTGGTGCAAGGCCTGTTGCCATGCTCCTCAAAGCCTTAGGGGAGGTGGTCCGAGTCACCAATCCCGACCCATGTGGGCTCTGGAGCCCCTGAAAGGTGATGGTTGGGGTTGACACACATGAACTCACCTTAGGCAGCCTCCCCCAGGCCCACTGCATGTGGGACTCAGCTCTCAGGGGACTGGGCTCCGGGGTCCGCAGTTCCAGCTCTGAGTCACTCTTAGGGGATGTCAGCCCACCTGGAGAGAGACTGGAGGGAACAGTACTGAGGCCCCAAGCCAACCCACTACCCTTGCTGCCCACCCTAACTTGGGAGAAAAATATTTGCAGCTCACACTTATGCCTGTGTTGAATCCTGATTATATAAGGAATATGTAAGGATATGAAGAATATATAAATATATAAAGAACTCCTACAAATCAGCAATAGAGCGGCAATCCAGAAAAAAAAAGAGGTAAGGTGAGAGAAGAAATGTGTAATGGGCGCAGAGTATTCATTTGGGGAATGAAAAGTTCTGGCCAGGCTTGGTGGCTCAGCCTGTAATCCTGCACCTTTGGGAGGCTGAGGTGAGTGGATTGCCTGAGCAGCGAGACCTCATCTCTACAATAAATAAAAAAATCAGCCGGGCGTGGTAGCACATGCCTGCAATTCCGGCTACTCGGAAGGC